TATTTATTTATTTATTTAATCCACATGTCACGATGTGATTGTACATGTGGGCTCCACTTATCTTCCACATCATACACTTAACAAAATTTTTGACGGCAAGGACCATTTGTGATAAAAAGTCCAAACGTTAAGGACTATTAGTGTCACAAAAAAACCTCAAGGACCATTCGCGATAATTTCGTAAACGTCAAGGACCATTTGTGATAAAAAGCCATTGAAAGAAATAGAAACTAAACAGCTGCTATTGGATGCAGAACAGAACAGGTAGATATATAGAACTGGTGGATCAAGTCACGTGGGGTCCGGCATGGACGCCAGATATCTACAAATCTTTGGCATATATATGATGCATATGGGTCTGGCCATGCAATTTTATATATTAGCAAAACGTTTCTTGATCTTGCCCGTCTCTGGCTGCAGGACTGACGCAAGCAGGTTGTAATGCTGGGGCTGGCATCGTAAAGAACATAAACATTCAGATATTTTATAAGCATCTTGTGGAATCTATTAACATGCATGATGCATGTCCAGTCCAAAATTGAGATTCTTAACCTTTTCTCCTTTACTAAAAAACCAGATGCAGACAGAGCTAGCTCAATGTCCGTAAGTCAGTACCAACCAATATAACTGAAGTTTAATTTGATCATGTAAGGTCACTATTTGATAATATAAAGTATACGATATGGATACCAAAAGACAAAAAAAAAAAAAAAATTGTAAAGTAATGGTATGCATGCTACTAGTACTATGCTTGCTTAGGTAGGTACATGATAATGTGGAAAGGTCACAAACCTCCATTATTTTTATTTGCACGTTCTGTGTACGGTATGGTATGGGAGAAGGGAGGGATAGTTTTCCATTTTCTGGCAATAGTTGGGTAACCATGAATAGTCACCCAAAAAAAAGAAGAAAAAATTCAAACAGCAAATTTGATTTATTTTTAAATCTTTCTCCCTATTGACTCTTTTTCCTTGACCGGACAAGCTACCACATCGCTGCATTGTAAGAAGGTATATAGTGCCATGGCAGTGTTCCACGAAAATGAAAATCAGATAAAATAATTCTTAATCTATTTTCAGGAAACAGAAAAGAACCTCCTTCCGGAGCGGTGTTCTTACTGTTGTATCGTGAGTTTGTGCCTTGTTTCGCGAAAGAAAAAAAACAGAAAACAAAATGAAAAAATTGTCAGTGAAAAACCAAAACAAAAATGAAAATTAGGTGGGTGTGTCTCCCAATCAGCAAGCTCTAAACCAATAAAAGTCGCCACCGGTGTGCTGTTGTTGTTTCACTCGAGTCGAGTCGAGTGCATAACGTGTAGTGCAGCTCAAACTCAGTCAGTCAGCCCCATTTGCATTTGCCCAAACCCACTCAATGCCTTTCAATATCGGTCTCAGAGGACCCAGACCACTCTCAACTCTCTGCAACCCGCACCACCATTCTTGATAAATTCTTTGCCAATGCACTCCCCAACCTTTCAAAGACCTCACCTTTAATGGCCGCCACCGCCACCACCTTCTCTCACCTCTCTCTCTCCCCCAAGCTCCCAACTTTTCCACTTCCCACCACGCCCTCAACAAAACCCAGGTAACTCAAGTCCCTTCACATCTCTCTCTCTCTCCCTCTCTCACTTACACAAACTAACTCTGTTTTTCCATTGCAGGACCTTGAAGTTGAAGATCACCTTCTGTCTGTCCCTAAAGCAATCCAATGACCAAACTTTCACAACCCAAAACGCCGCCGTAGACAACCTCCGCGTGGTCTTCGGCGCAGGAGGCACCGGCGGCCACATATACCCTGCTGTTGCCATAGCCGATGAGCTCAAGAACACCAAACCCACCACCCAAATCCTCTTTTTAGGCTCACCCAATAGCATGGAAAGTACCGCAATTCCCTCCGCCGGCTACGACTTCGACACCGTACCCACCACCAAATTACACCGTCCACTCCTCTCTCCTAAGAACATTTTCCTCCCGTATAATTTGATCAGGTCCATCATCCACAGTTACTCAAAATTGCGTGATTTTGAGCCCCATATCGTTTTTGGTACTGGTGGGTATGTGTCCTTCGCTATAGGCTTGGCGGCCAAGCTGAAAGGCGCCAAGCTTGTAATCCAAGAACAGAACGCTGTTCCAGGGATAGCCAATTGGGTTCTCTCATTTTTAGCTGATGCTGTGTTTGTGGCTTTCAATTCCACCATTGATTGCTTCCCAAGTGGTAAGACCAAGTGCGTGGTTTGTGGCAATCCGGTGAGGTTGTCTTTGAAAAAGCAAGTGTCGAAGGCGGTGGCAAGGGGGCATTTTTTTTCAAGGTCCAGTGAGATTGGGGAGTTGGAGAAGGCTAAGGTTCTTTTGGTTCTTGGAGGGTCTTTGGGTGCTAATGCTATTAACATTGCTGTGCTGAATTTGTATTATCAGATGCTGTTGGAGAATGAGAACTTGTTTATTATATGGCAAACTGGGGTGGAGGCCCATAATGAGATGGAAAGTCTTGTTAAGAATCATCCACATTTGCTTTTGACACCGTAAGTGCTCTGCTATTCTGTTATAAATTTCTAAGTAAAAGTCAAAACTTGTAATGGCTAACTTTTGTATCCATTTTCGGTGTAATTCAAAGGGGATTACCATGAAAGGCTTAAAATATTGTTCATATTTCAGAAAAAAAAAATTATAGACTTTGAAGTTTGGAAGGAGTGGGAAAGAATTTCCTACAGAAGGGTTTCATAGTGAACTTAAGAAAATGTTATAGCTAATGATGCTTAGTTTATGTGACATTCATATTCAAGAATCCAAGGTAATAACTTTCTCATCATCCTGAGAGGGTTCAACACCAATGGCGGACTCAGTTTATTATATCTTCCGTTTTTGGTCATAGTGTATTTGTCCATATCTTCCTTGAAGCTGATGTAACTCTGTATATTGATATTGAAGGTTCATGCATTCAATGGATTCAGCATATGCAGCTGCAGACCTTGTTGTATCTAGAGCTGGTGCAATGACTTGCTATGAGATTTTGGCAACTGGGAAGCCTTCCATTCTGGTACTTTCTGATTTTTAAGTTCTATCGTAAAACATAAGCTGGCATGAGTTTTATTGTTTGATTTGCCTGATTTCTGGCCTAAATTACCAAATTAACGGTCATTGTTTCTTCCTTTGTTCATGTTATATGAGATTTCCCTGCATATGAAACCAATATTCATCTGACCAAATTTGATCATGTTCCTAATAATAATGTTGATTGTATTGCTAAGGGGGAGAAAAATTCGTAATCACCTTTTGACTTTGTAGATACCATCACCTAATGTTGCCGAAGGTCATCAATTCAAAAATGCTTCTTTAATGGCAGACTTAGCAGGTGCAAGGGTTATAACTGAAGATGAACTTGATTCAACAACCCTTGGAAGTGCAATTGAAGAGATTTTAGGTATGTTTATTCTCTTGCCTACAGTGGGTTCTTTTTGGTGTGGTTTCTGTTGGTGTGGAAATCAGGGATCTTATGGTTTTCATTGTCATACTGATAGTAAAAACAACATAGAATCCTGAAAAAGCGAGCCTTTGGAGATCTATTAGGATCCATTTCATACAGATTTCTTTTTAACCTAACTTGTGGATGAGTTCATCATGATTATTACAATAGCAGACCTGCTCGTGTTGTAATCATTTTCTCTTTCCTTTTTTGTTTGTTGCAAATAATATTGTGCAAATATCATATAAGCTATGTATAATAACTGGTAAGAGACTGATTGCTTGACCTTGAGTGATTCAATGAACCGTGTATACTTAAAGTTTTTCCTATTTAGGATTAGAAACACTTCCTACTGTAAAATTGTAGAGACATTCTGGGGAAGTATCATCAGTACTATGGATCATATAGATATTCTGACAATTTGCATATGTCTCTAATACTCTTGCTCTACTTGATGTCACTCTTGATTGAAATATAACATCTGCATTCAAAATCAAATAAATGAGACATAGGAGGAAAGAAGAAAATAGGTAAGTCAACTGAATGGGTTGCCCCGCTAGTCACTTGAAATCTTGGTATAAAAATACTGTCTGTGTATTTTATTTGATGCAATGGAACTTGAAGCAATTTGAACTGTTTTAACCAGGTTGTATATGTCTCAGCTAAGATGCATGAATTTTACCAATGGTAGCGAAAATCTACACGAAATTATGGATTTAATTTGTTATTGATGAGTAATGTCATTTTATTATGGAGAGTGAGGATTCTTTTTTACTTCAAAAGTTCAATATTCTTAATCAATTTTATTTTTTAGGGGATGAGAGTAAAATGGCAGAGTTGTCTGAAAGGGCTCTGAAAACTGCAAATTCCAGTGCCTCTGTAGAGATTGCAAAACACATACTTTCTCTAGTCAACTTATCAACATCAAAGGAGAAGTAGAACTGTAGTTGGTTTATATTCTATGCTTGCCGGTAGACCTGCCTCGAAAGGCGGTTCCTCCAATTTCAGATTGCAGTCCACCAAGATTAGTTAATTTGTTATG